GGCACTGGAGCGACGACAGCTGTCCGTAACATCAACAGTGCATTGGGGAGGACACCACTACCATCAGGACTGTCCACCGCTGGTTCGCTCGCTTCGCGAAAGGAGACACGATCTTCGAAGACAAACCTCGGTCAGGACGCGGACTGGAAGACTCTATCGTTCTCGAAGCTGTCAAGGAGGCTACCACTCGTAGTCCTGCGGCAAGACGCGGGTGCACATACTGGCAGTCATCCGCCGCCTACAAGTCCTCGGCTATTAAAAAGTAGTGGCTCGATGGATCACTCATACCATGACGGGTGACGCACTATACATCCGGATACCCATTTGTCATTCTCCGCCCTCACCGGAAGGAGTTTCAGAGAGTTTGGTTGGTGGAGATGAGAGATGGGTTCTATATGCTTCCAAATCTCACGGTACCGTATGACTCTCTCAGGGAGATGACTTATTAGCAGGCCAACCTGGCATGCACTCCAACACGGTTCTCCTTTTCTGCTTCTAGGACGCAAGCGGAATGCTGCACAGCGAACGCACGATCACCGCTACCATTTGTGCCGCTCAGCTCCAGAAACCCGTGTAAAGTGTTGGAGAAAAATGATCGAGAATGGTCCGATGCACCTCGTCCATTACGACGCGAGCCCGTACTGCTATGAGGATAGGGTACAGCATCCTGATGTGTGAAATAGTGGTGTAGGTACGAACCCTACCTACCAACACCTATCTACCGATTTCCCACATTTTCCAGATTTTCACCCAAAGATTTTTCGTCGAGCGGGGGGGGGGAGGGTTATAGCCACTGTGAAGCGGGAAACTCTCATAGATATTCCCCAACTTCCTATATTTTTTTCCGAAATTTCCCGGATAAATTTCCTACTTCCCCCCAAAAAGTTTGCTATTGAGCGGGGCGGGGGCTGGGGTATATAATACACATGAAACAGAAAAAAATCAAGAAAACTCAACAACTGGGGGAAACTTTTTCCCGACGCGGCAATTTCTCTTGAAGCCGACCCCAGCCCCTCTCCCAAAAGAAAAGTACGACCCCTCTATGTGTTGCATACAACGATGCTGCACCCTGTATGGGGAGTTACACATAATTGAGGAGCAAGACTGGGGAACCAAACAGCGCTCACCATATTCTCCTGTCTTAAGCAGCTACATGCTCCTTAAGACTTTCCTAGCTAAAAGAACCATCAGCAAGTATGATGACACCAGTCGAGAGGTCACCGACTTGTTTGACTCGCAGCCTCCTTCAATTCTGGGAGAAGGGGATTGCTGACCTGCCCATCAGTGGAGCACAGTAATGGCTAACAATGGCGAGTATATTGCTGATTAAGTCTTGTTTTATGTTGAGCTAGAAAATAAAAAGAAAAAAAAGTTGCAACTCTGACAAAGCTTTCTTTCCAGCCTAATGCAAATCATTGCTATGAGTATATTAGGTTTGTAAAGAAGGAATATGAAAAGTGCGGCGTCGAAAGAAGTTATGAAAATGCAAAAGTTGCGGTGACTTCACTAAACAGTAATGTCTCTGTCGGTATCACCATTTCCAGTTGTAGTGTGTATGTATCGAATAGCAAAATTGGAAATGTCAAAGAAGCAGTATTTATAAAATTCGGAGAACGGTGACCGCGCACATTTCTGAAAACGGTGACCACGCCGAGAAGTGGGGTGGGGCTTGCAGCAGTGCCTAGTGTGGTCTAGTTGTCAAGCTGCCTATTGTAAGGGGTGTGTCCGATTTGATTTGAAAAGTGTCCGATTTGGTTTGAAAAGTGTCCGATTTGGTTTGAAAAGTGTCTGATTCCAAAGTGAAAATGAAATATCCATAACCCATTTATCAAATTCACCACAGTTCCGTGTGGTTGTGTCACATAAAATCATGGTTGCTGGATTTATGTTGTGGTTGCTAGATATTGCATGCTGTATACTACCTTGAAGACACAGTCCGCCGTAATCCAGCTCCTCCCTACCTTGCTCAAGGCCGTGCGGTCCACAGCTCCATAGGACACACCACCTTAGCCGATCCAAATTCCTTGTTTAGTGTGCCAGAAATTTGTCATGAACATTGAGCTCTGCTCCGGATGTAGGTCTCCATTCCTGCATTCTCCATCATGTCAGTGCATCCCGCCGTCGTTATATGGTTGCGGTCTTGTCGTCTATATTTCCTCACCATTTCAACGTCTCTTTCTCACTTCGACGCTTCGCGTCTCTTGAACTGTATTCTTGTATGATTCCTCTAGTGTTTATGTGACCTACTCGTTCTCAACAGCTCAAAATCATTCTATTCAACCGAAGCAAATGCGATATTGAACGCTTCACGCAGATACAACATCTATCCGAATTATACATATACTGAGGGAGCTCAGTGGAAACTGTACGACAGAGCTCAAGCTGCTCAACGAGCCGTGTCATATAGAAACCTGCAAAGGTGCCCCCAGGCGGCACGATTCCGCCAAAGTTATTTGCAATAGCGCTTGAGGCCCTTTTCAGTAACCTCGACTGGAGTGGCGGTATAGACATTGACGGTGAACGCTTATAAGACTTGTTTTTCGCTAATGACTGTGTCATTATTAGGCACGATGCACTCAAACTCCAGAGTGGACTGATTGACTTACAAAGAACAAATCCGAAAAAAATTGGTCTTGAGATGAATTTATGCAAGACAAAATGGATGCGCAACCAGTTTGCTCCGAAAGCAAGAATAAGAACATGTTAAGGACGGCGAAAGTGGTCTCCTCGGGTGATCAGGAGAAAGCGGAGTCTCTGGAGCTCGCTCGAGAGATAGCTCTCTCCAATGGTTACCCCCAAAGATGGACCCCTCCCTGGACCACCCAGTAGGCGACGAGATAGGGCTGCGAACGAGGATTCCGAGAAGGTGCCGTTTTACTTGCCCTTCGTCAGTGATGGGATCAGCTCCGCCGTAAGAACGGCCCTACGCAGGTCCAGCCTCGACTCAATGGTCCGGGTGGTCGAGATCCCTCCCACGTCCCTCAAGCAGCAATTGGTCCGCAATCGCTGGTACGACCGGTATTGCCTTACCCCCATTGTGTTATCTGCCCACATGGGAAGCAGGGTGACTGCATGGCATCAGGTGTGATCTACCTGATCTCATGCACCCTCTGTGGGGACGAATACATCGGCGAAACTGGGCGACCACTTTGCTCCAGGGTGAAGGAACATCTGGACGGTTTGAAGAAATCGAGGCCTCAGACCCCCTGGGTGGACACAGAATGTACGGACACGGAGGGGCGGAAGTTCCAAGTCTCTGCGAGGATCGTGTGACGCAAGCGAGCCCAAACATCACCAGCACTTTTGGAGGCGTTTTGGATACCCACCAGAAAACCGCCAAGTTGACATGAAAGATGATGCCCGTAGCAATTCTACAAATGAGCTCGCCTGTTCGCTGACACTATGTGGGCTTCAATGTTGAATATCAGTTTTTTCGGGTCGATGGGCTGGGGTCAGAGCTGAAGCCACCCACAGCTGAGTCAGTTTAAGGTGGTCGAAACTCGAGCTAGCCGTGCTCTCCTAAGGTTAGTTGGCTTGTGCTTGTAAGCTACGAGACCTCCCTGAACGCCTTCTATGGTGAGCTGCCTCAGTCTGAAATGGCATTCGGCGGTAGGTCACCTAATCTTTGACTTTCCAGGCTCCGACGAAGGGGACAGGGCCGAAACGTCAGCCAAATAAAGTTGTTAACATCATGGGTGTGGTTTAAACATCCAATCAGAAGCAAGAATAAGCATTGAAGGTGAAATAATCGGAGTCAGTCATTATACCTACTTAGAACAGCAGCTTTGTTGTACGGAAAGCGACGGACGACAACGAAATCTCAGTAGACGCAACCTGCTCTCTCCTGTCAACAGAATTTCAACAGTACCGCTAGATGATAAGCTGCCGATGACGCTGAAGGTTTCATTATACCACTCAAGAGCGACACCCGCGCTGTTGTACGGCGATGCACATTTGCAGAAAGTTGGTTGACCAGTAAGACTGATGAAGAGGAGCTTGCTGTAGCGCAAAGATCGGAGCGCAGAATTTGTAAAAAGTCACTTCAAGATCACATTCCGAAGCGCAGAAGTTCGAAGGCGAAGTGGGATGAATGATGTAGTCCAGGAACTGTATAAAAGAAACAAGAGTGGGCCGGTCATGTTGCGCATTAAAGGACACTAGATGGACCTCTCCCCTTATGAACTGAATCCCACTGCATCAGATACGACCCAGAAGGCCAAAAATGAGATGGGCTGACCCGTTACTGGAAATGTTAGGCCAACAGTGGAGAAGACGCACACGGGATCGGAATGGATGGCTCAAGAGTCGACTTGCGTAAATGGCGATGTATGCGAGGAGAAGTCGGATCAAGGTAATCTAAACAGCTAAGTTGCTCATTTCTTCATCAGTAAATCATGTACCACTCTCTGCGCTGTCCGAGTCCGACTTCACACGATGCACATTTGCTCTGTTGCATAAGATAGCTAAGGGTGCTCACTCAAAAAAGTTACTACAGCGAATAGGCGTCCCCACAGCACCCCGTCTTACCGCCCCTTACTCGGAAGCTCACAGCAAATCCGCTAGTTTTGTGAATGGACATTCTGCAAGTTGATTGAATTTAACTGCTGAGTATGTGAAAGCTACGGAACGGGTGAATGCTCAGCATGGTTGAATTAACTTCCGGGTATGTGTGCTCACGTTTGCCGGTTCATTTACCCAACAAAGGCTTTTTAGCTAGAAACTGGGATCAGCTGCAACTCGGAAACAAACTGCGAGCACTTCCATCTCAAAAACCATTTACTGTGCGATTAATGGGTACTATATCCACCTGCAATACACTTCAGCAGAGAGTGAAAGTTGTGTGCATGGCGCACTTCATGTGGAACATTCACTGACTGACACTTTGTTACTATGGAATAACTGAACAACAACTCGATCAGGCAGCCATAAAGTTGTTTCACTAGATCGTTGGCAACGGCAATGCATAGATAAATAGGACTGTTGTACCTGAAGGAGACATGAGGCGGCACGAGCAAGAGACCCTTCCCCCAGGTTCAGGTATGTTTTAGCGCAGACGACCAGAGACTCCGCACGATGGACACGATCAAGACGATCGTAATTTGCCGTGCTGTCGCGCAATGGACACGGCAGTTCGTGTGAGGTGCTCCACAACTAATAGAAAGCTGTTATCCTCAACTGCTCCGGCTACGAAGTATCTCCACGCCGCATGCGGCCAATCGACATCGTTAGCCACGCCCATCGCGCTAACTATGATTGTCTTGTCACATACGCTCGCACGCCCTCGTCTAGGATTGCTGGGCCCCAGACTTGGCGACGTGGCTCCATCAGCTGCACCAGCAGTGATAAATAGTCAGATAACTAGAAAATAAATTACAAAACTAGTTGGTAAATTATCACAACGATCACCCACAGTGACGTTTTGTGGTGCACAAACAACTGAAAAATCGTAGAATACTCAATTTGAAAAAAATGGAATGACGAGACCGGATATAAAAGAAAAAAAGACGATAAGTGCAAATCACGTAGAGGAATAGATTGAGGAATGATCGCTTCTTAGTGAGGAATGATCGCTTCTTAGTGGTAATAATTCCAGTCAACACTTATACAAATCAATAAATAATATGATAGAGCTAAGCGAAAAAGTCGGAAGAAGGTACAGAACGGTTACAAGTCACAACTTAGATATTATTATAGTTAGAGGCCTCCTTGACAGCCCATATCACGAGGATTGGAAAAGGGGTACCCACGGATCTACTCGTGAGCTGCTAGGTCAGGGCAGAGACTTGACTGTGTGTATGTCTAGGAGAGCTCAAGCGGCAATTAGGGCACGTCCTACGTTCGCACCTTCAGGATCTCCAGCGATGGAGTCGTATTCGGTTACTGCAGCTAAGCGGGTCGTATATGCGCTTGCAAAAAACGTTTCGTCGTTGACTACTCTTGATCTTCCTCGTTTTCCCGTCACGTGCGCTATATTCCACCCCTTCCCTCCCTCCCCCTGCCCCACTCCCGCTCTATTAGACAGGTTCCTTCGGACAAAACTGAAGAACTGGAAAATTCATGGGGATAACTCCGCAAAAAAGTAAGGAATGAGGAACGCGGGAAAGTTCAGAGCGATGCTAGATGGGATGGAGGATAGGAAAGTGGGGGTGCCGGGGAAAATCCTGAAAAGGAGGGGAGCCGTATTTTGCAAGAAGTTTCGCGAAGGCAAGAGGTGCCCTAGCGGCACCTCCTTCTGTGCCTCAAACTTCCAGCAACTCCACGAGCAAACAACCGTAGCCGCGCTCACAACTTGGTCCGTGGATACAGTGCTCTATGCACCGTGTTACAAAATGTACGTGGCGGCCAATATCACAACAGGCACAGAGACTTTTTAGCTGGTTCAAGGCAAGATTTAAGTATCCTTTGATATATACGAAGGAAAAATCGTAATTTAATAAGCATAGTCTACCCAAAGGATGCCTATTACTGATTTGTAATGAAATGCCTAGGATCTGTGGCCAGGAAAGGATCATCTCTTCAAGGTGACGTGGTATCCTTGGTACTGAATACTCCCAGCTCTTCTTCTGTGTTTGTGTAATTTCTTCTTCTCTTCGGTGCTGGTTCTTCAACAGATTTTTCTTCGAGAACACCCGTTTCGGCAAGTATAGTCTGAAACAGGAAATTTATTGAGAGTCCAAATACCGTCACATGGTACTTGTTATTAGATTGGGAAATAATTCCTCGCCGTTCTTCTGATTGGGACATCTCAATATCACAGCAACGAGTAATGAATCGCTAAGGCTGCGTTCATACTGGGTCGGCCCATAAGTAATGGCGTTTTTTCCTCACTCGAAATATCGCGCTGAAGATGAATATTTTTGCCATTGAATTGTATACTGTTTTACAGAGAATCCCTTGTCTTGTATGGTATTCTTTTGTTTTCTTCAACTGTTTCAGAAGTATTTTAGTGCTCAAACTGGAGTGTCAGGTCGACGAAATTGAGCATTTTCGACAGCCTCTCTTTTTTACCTCTAATTAAAAAGCTCAAACCGCACAGGCCCCGTTGTTAAGTATATGGCCAGGAGCTATTTCTATTATTTATGCTAACAATGGTTTAGATTATTTAGAAACTTCCATTTCGACCTCACAGACAAGCATCGAACCTAATGCCCTATTGAGTCCAACTGAGAGCTTACTGAATTACCTTATTCATGGAGATTCATGTCAGAGATTGAGGAATCGTTATAGGTCATGGAATAAGTAATCATTATAATGATGCCACCCTCAGTTGATGTTAGATTACTCAGAAGTTAATGGATAGGTTCTGCAGGCAGTCGCTCCTCAAGAGAGCCCCAATGCGATGCACATTTACAAGGTCCGAAATCCAAACTCTAGATCGGTTTAACCAACTTCAGCTGTCATAAGTATCACCTTCCTTTGGTCATATATACCACAAGTTTTGAGCTTCTTTTGTAACTCGAGGCCGAGGTAAAGTGCAAAAAGTTGTTGTCGAAAACTCACTTTTGGGTCGACCCGTGACTCATTTCAATTGGATAGAAATTGACGAAAATTGGGAAATAATGAGAAGGGTGTCATAACATATTGTAGAGGAGAAAATTGTCTATTGAACAGTGTAGAACACATTGGGAACAACTGTCACTTTCCATGGAAAAATTTGTGTGAAAAAAAACGCCATTACTTATGGGCCAACCCTATACTTTGCGGCAGCGTCCACTAGCGTTTCGAGCGCCCAATAGCGTCAGCGAATGGAAAAGTGTAGAGGTCGATCTAGCGTCTACCAGCGTCCAGGAGAGGAGAGTATGGCGCGATAGGGGAGTAGCAGACAAGTGGTACCTCCCTATCGCGCCATACTCTCCCCTATGGACGCTGATGCATGCTGGTTCACGCTGGTAGACGCTAGATCGATACCTACACTTCCCAGGCCCTTGATACGCTGGCGGATGCTGGTAGCCGCTGGCGAACGCTAGGAGACGCTGGATCTACGCTGGTGAACGCTAGATCGACATCTATACTTTCCTAGTCGCTGATGCTGCCAGACGCTCGAAACGCTAGTGGACACTGCCGCAAAGTATAAACGCAGCCCAAGCCGTGCTTTCTTGGGTCTTGTAGAACAGACAAACCTTTTGAATTGGTGAATTACTCTGACCCAATCATTCGCAGTTGAACGAAGTAATTGGGAAAGCGGCGGAAATCCATTTCTCAAACGTATAATGTAATTACTTGAGAGCATACCACATTTTCTTTGGCATCGCTAGATTCTACAAAGTCATCTCCAGCAGCTACGTGAGAATTTGAGCTGTCAACAGCTACGGCAACCGTGTCCGAAAGCTCCAGGGGCTCTTCCAGTTTCTCGGTCCGGCTCTCTGAAATAGAAATATCCGAGGAGACAACATGAAAATTGCTTTGCTTTGCATCCAGGGCAATGTGGTACATTGGAATCTCCACCGATAGGGTGGCTTTTAGTAGCTGGAGGAAGGGGTCGTGATAATCTTGACGAAAAATGTTTTCCGTTGTTGGATTTTTCTTGATTTTTCCCACTACGTACTTCACATGGTTACCAGCCCCCCTCCCGTCCCCTCCACGGCAGTTTTCTAGGAAAAACTGGAGGTTGAAAATTCAGTACAACTGGTAGATAGAAAGGTGGGAGCAATTAGGATGATGTTAGGTGTGATGGGGGATGGGGCGAGTTTTACACTAGCGGATGAACTCTTGAAGGGATTCGGGTAATGCGACATTTTCCGCAACGGTTTGAGGTTCGAGCCACCTAAATTTTGCTGAATACTGGATGCTTGATACCTGCTCCACATAATGATAGCACCATTAGTAGCACCATGTCGTGGTGGCACCATCCTACCCCTACAGCCTCAAAATTTCAAAAGAGATCTGCTAAAGCTCTGGCTGTTGGGTCTCCATGCCCTCATCACGAATATTACAGACGCTTCTAGTGCCAGCGCCATTAGGTCACAATGAACGCCAATTCGTGGCTAACACCTTCTTCTCCAAAGCTGGTAGAAACCTGCGTACTAGATTTCTTTGGCGTCCTGAATACCACTGTACCACTTAATTTGCGTCGGCATCAAGTAGAGCAGGAGCGTTGCCGACGTCAACTTTGCCTCCCAAAGTTCCCTGCCGAGTTCGTTAGAAACTTGCATAAGGCGTCCATTGTGGGGCATTCAGTTTTCCCACCGGTGCCAACTAGCCCTCTGCTGACGCTGAACCTAAGAGGAGTAGCGGCTCCACGTTTAGCCTTACCCTTTCAGCCCCAACACAGCGCAGAGGAGCAGGTTGCTTCATCTTAGCGTCGTCGTCAAAAAAATCATGCCTCTTCATGACGGGGATATCGAA